TTGTCTCCCATACGACATCTATGTCTTCCGAAACACTTGAAGCTATCTCGGAATATATTGAAGAGACGAGACCATCAATGGACACTGATCCACCTCCTGTTCCTCCTCTTTCCTCCCCTCCATCTGTGCAACTCCCATCTTAGCAGTGTCCCATTCCTTCGCTGCTTGAACATTTTCCATAGATACCTTTACCTGCAGATTTCTTGTATCTTTCTCATTACCAATCATGGCCTATTTACAGTGGAATATCCGTGGCCTCAGAGGTAATCGGGGTGGGCTTCAGATGTAGCTCTCCCGGTTTTACCCTGTTGCTGTTTGCTTACAGAACCAAAATTACATTCCACTGTTATCCATCCAATCTTAGGCAATGATTTATTGTATTCTTCAGATCCTTTTTCTGATGGGACCTTTAATGAAAGTGCCCTTCTTATACGCAGATATTCCGTACTGTCAGCTATTTAAACCATACCCCCGGCCAGGATTGAACCCGGCTGGGGGTATGGTTTGTTTGCAATCGTGTCATTACGATTTCTTGAGTCATGTTGACGGCAGTGAAGGGACTTGAGCTAGAGTTCGTCATGGCCACGCTAGCTGGAGAGTCGTCTGTAAAAACTTGCATTTGTGGTCGCAGAGGTGCCTGTGCTAACCTTCCTATTGTGTAGAAATATACCTAGTTGGATGAATCTTATTGTGGCTAGCTGGTCTAGTGGCTAACGCGACGGGCTGGAGTTTTGAGACTATGACCGCGGGTTCAATCCCGGCCGGGGGTATGGTTTGTTTGCAATCGTGTCATTACGATTTCTTGAGTCATGTCAGCTATTTGTTCATACTTTGCTGCATTACACTGCAGCCTGTATCCAGTTGAATAAATGGTATACAATCTGTTCTTTGTATCTCTCTCCTTCTTGGGCATTATCTATCCCAGATGTTGCCTTTCTTGTTTCGTCCTTACCGCCACCACTTTTGTTGCCTGCGATTTTAAAACTCCTACCATTTCCTCTGGGGGGAAGGGGGGTCTCACTGTGACTCCCGTGACATTCAGTTAGAGACTTTTCTTGCAACTTATCCCCTCCATGTTTTAAATACGGGGACTCCCACCCATTTTGATCCTCGTACTCATACTCTCTCTTGCATCGATCTCTCGGTCTGCTCTTCCTCCACTGCACTAGACTTCACCTGGTCTGTCCTCCCGGACTTACATTACAGTGATCATTTTCCAATCATTCTTACTTCTCCTTCATATTCACCATCTCTTCGTAGCCCACGCTGGCAATTTGATCGAGCACACTGGGACCTTTACTCGCGACTAACTGCTTTTAGTGAGGTTCCTTCTTCGTCCTCCATTGATGAGCTTTTACACCTCTTCTCAACCTCAATTTTAACTGCAGCTTCTCATGCTATACCCCAAACCTTGGGGAGGCATTCTCAGAAGTGCGTGCCTTGGTGGTCCCCTGCCTGTGCTCGGCAGTACGTTTGAAACATGCTGCGTGGGGCAGGTATTGGTACAATAGAACCACAGACTTCTTGATCTTAAGCAGAAGCGAGTGGTTGCTCGCCGTGTCATCCATGACGCTAAACGAACTTGCTGATGAGATTGTTTCCACCATCACCTCTGCTTCCTCTATGAGTGCAGTCTGGAAAAAAGTATGGAAACTGAGTGGTAAATGCTCTCCCAACCCGGCTCCTGTTCTGTGGGTTGCCGGTGTTGATATAGCAAACCCTCTTGACGTTGCCATTGAAATTGGCAATCATCTGGTGGTTGTTTCAGACTCCTTTAGTGCTTTACAGGCTACATGAAAATTTGATACACCTCACCCCCTAGTTCTCCGTATCCAACTTTGGTTACACCGTATCTCTACCAAGCACAAGGATATTTTTTGTTGGGTCCCTGGTCATGTTGACATACAGGGCAATGAACAGGCAGACACTGCTGCGTGGTCAGTACATATAGAGGTGTTCCATTCAAGACTATTTTGCTGTAATTGCTACCCACCTTCACACCCATTGGCAACAACGTTGGTCTGATCTGCTCTGTAACAAACTTCATTCTATTAGAATGTGTATAGGTTACTGGCCGTCTTCATGTCATCAATGTAGAGGTTGGGAGACTACTCTCTCCCATCTTCACATTGGCCACACTCGTCTTACTCACAGGTATCTCATGGAGAGGCCCCCTATTCCTCTCTGAGAATTGTCAGGTTCCAGTATCTGTTAGCCACATTCTGTTAGACTGCCCACTCTATCAATGAGCACAGAATTTACCTCCAATGTTGTCTCCTCTCTGCTGCTCTTTCTTTACCTTCCCTTCTTGCTGATGGACCCTCCTTTAACCCCTGGACTGTCGCATCCCCTAATCCTGAAGTGTCTCCTGGTGTCGCAAAATTAAAAAAAAAAAAAAAATTAGTTTTTCTTATGAAATGATAGAGAATCTTTTCCCGATTGTAATGACACCAAAAAAAATGAAATTTGATGGAAAACTGATGGAATAACGCTCTCGTGAAGTTAGCGACCTCAGCGATATTTACAGATCGGCGATTTCGCCCACTTTGAGCTCTATTTTCGGCTAATTCCATTGTTCAGTCGACCAGACTCATAGCTATTTCTTTCGAACTCCATTTTTTCTATTGATTGAATACAAGAAACTGCCCATTTACCAATTTCAACTACCCAATAATGTGGTCAGAAATTTGCAATTTGGCCAATTTCACAAAAATTAAAAAATATGTCAATTTCAAAACAAGGTCCAGAATGAACAATGCAGACATTCCTGGCTCTAAAATAACATTTTCTTTGTTCATCAGTCACATCTCCAGGCCCCTCTGATATTACTCTTGCTTTCTATTATGAATTTTTATTCAAATAAAAAATAGAAGATTTACTGTTATGCAGACTACTGCAATACTGTAATAATTGTACAAATAATGTCAACCCATTCATGACCGCACATCAGAATGGCTAGTTGGACATTTATTGGACAATGACATCATTTGTTTACTTTTGAACATCAGCAAAAATCAAACATTTCCCCTACCTTGAGCTCCATTTCCAGGTTCTTTTTATAGTAAAATCAATCAAAATCACCTCTATTTCTATAATATGTTTTCCATTCTATCATGAGACCATGAAAACAAGAATACAACCATAAATACTATATGAAAATAGACCACAAAGTCAGCATTTTAATTAAAAAAAAAAAAGGTCGGAGTTTTTTTTTTCTCATTATGCACTGCGTCCTCCAGGATTTTTTTTATATGGTGCACACTGACCACACAGACCCATTCTCTCACATGTGGGCCTACCAGATTTCTCCTGCTTTATTTGAAGCCGCTAGAATTTATGAGTATATATACGTCAAACACGGTACCTCATAAGACGTATATATACGACCAAAACAGTCAAAGGGTTAATCAGAACTGTCATTGACTTTTTGACAGCCACTGATTTACTCCACAAACTCTGATGATACCTTCAGCACTCCCCTCAGCCCGTTCTACTTCAATCTCTTGCTACCCTCTACCCCTGCACTATCCACTGCCCTGCTGTACTCCATTACCTACCAATCATCCCCCCCTCTATTGCTACCCGATACCCTCACATCCTTGCCCTGCAGTGCTGTATAGCCCTTGTGGTTTAGCACTTCTTTTTGATTATAATAATAATCTTTGATTATAATAATTTACTAAGTCTGATTCAATTATTACTATGCTATAAACCATGACCAATCATTCCTGGTTATATTTTATTATGAGAAATATGGTAAATTTTACATTTTTTTGTGAATTCAAAAAAAAATGCAAGTTTATTTTATGCTTTTTAACCCGTAAACGGTCCAAACATATATATACGTTCACTTGCCCAGTGCCCTAAATATTTTGAAAAATAAAATTGTTTTTTTCATAGAAATAAACAGTACATTTTTCTAAGTTATAGGATAAAAAAAAATTTAGGGTCAGTACTTACCGAGATATGAGGGCGCAAAGTTGGCACTTGGCAATCACCTGATGGCAACATGGAGCGCTGCCGCTTGCAGAAATTCTACATATTTACTTTTTTTTTTACTTGGTTTTCATATGATGCTTATGTTTTATAGTAAATCTTTTGAGTTCAATATTCAATGCCAATTGTTGCATATACATCAGTATTATATACAAAATTATTATCATACTGTCACAAACACACACACACTGATAGGTGATTTTGCACACCTGGCTCAATCACATTCTATTATCTACAACTATATACAAGTATTTACATGTCCCACTTATGCTTCTAGAACTCCATGATTGTATGATACTCCATGAAGCATGGAGTCATAGAGTGCCACCCCACACTAGCAACATATGTATCATGTGTTCTTCCGCTGTTGGGGTCGTTTTGTGGTCACACACACAACACACTTTTTCTGGGAATGCTTCTTTGGGGGTAGGTATTGGTACCAGGTAGTGACAGTTAGGGATGATTCAGTCAGGCACTTCCCCCACTGGCTGTGGTTGTGGTTGGGGGACAGGTTGTGGTGTGACAGGTCGCTTTGAGGGGCAGGTACAAGTGTAGTACCATACTTTTTTGCTATCTGTTTTACAACATTCAGGGAGAATTCTGCAAAACATTGTCATTTTCCAGTCTGTATTTCATACATAATGAATGCATTGAGCACTGCAATGTCTACAAGGTGGAAAAACAGTTTTATATACCACTTGCGACTCCTACGCACAAAGTCAACAAACCCTATCATGTCACACTTGTCAACTAGTTGCATATTGTTCCTGTAGTCGACAACAGCAGCTGGCTTGACAATACGTTTATTAGTGTATGGTTCATTTTGTTTGTACCATCTCGTTTCTGTGGATGGTTGACAGCAATGTCACGTCCCGTTTGTCATGCCACATCAGTGCCATGATGTCATTGGCATGAAATGCTTGCACTGCACCTTCAACACTGCCTCCACTGAACCTTGTCATATGTTTTCTATTCCTTCTCACTGTTCCACATAATATCATAAATTTCAAGCTTTGTGTCATTACCTTAAAAAAAAAAAATTATATATCACTACAGATTTTTTTAAATGTAGATACGGAGCAATATTAATTTTGGAGGTCATGACAGTAAAAGGGTTAAGATACACCAATGTTGAATGTTTGAAGTCATGTAGAAACAGCTTTTTACTGGTCATTGGGTACCTACACAAGCTATTGACTGCTTAAGCCTTTCACCAGAACTGAAAACTTGAAGCCAGTCAGAGGCATTCTCATACTGCAAAATAAAAAATCTAATGAAAAATTCTGGTAACAACTGATAGGTACCCCTTTAGGGATACAGAATAACTATGGAAGCAGCAGCACACTGCCATATGCAGAATGGAAAACTTTTATTGAGAAGTCTTTCTGGACACCAAATTTGTTCAATGAAGGGTTCCCATTCTGTTTGTCAGTTTTAACTAATAAAAAGAAACAAAAATATAAATAATATAGTACTCTATGTGAAATGCAATAATGCACAAAGTGGATTGTTGACAGCCTTTATTAACTACTTATTTTTTGATAGTGTTCTTTGTTTTTCTGCAAACTCTACTATTTTTTCATCAATTGCAAGCCCTTTTCTTTTTCTAACAGCATTGATGTACTTCCTGGCACTATTACCACTATCAGATTTCTCACCCCAATGCATCAGCTCTTCGGTGGTTTGAGGTTCCCAAAAGGGGTCAATATCCAACATCTCCCAGTGAGAAAACACAAGTTGAGGCATTGCTTCCCCTGAAGTCTGAAAATTAAAAAATAAATTATGTTTATTTGTTGTCTTTCCCTCAGCTTACAGAGCCCATCTACTCACAAGCACAGTAATTAAACTAATTTTTATCAACATTAATATTTTCTAATGTTTTACATTAGTTATCCTTTGTGACTGCCCTTCTAACATAGAAATTCATCTATTTTACAACTAATTTTTCCAAGTAAATTTACTTTTTTATCAAGATTTCTTCCAATTATGCCTTATGATTTAGGAAGGAATTATTACACAATTATTTCCAGAAATATGTTGACATTACAAGTCAGATTACCCTCTGACTAACATCCATATCTTTCCCTCATGATGCAGGCACTGCCCTTCCCACCTGCAGAGCTCAAGTCCAGCTAATCGGTTTCCCTTCAAGTTTACCTTACTTACACTAGCAGCACATCCATAAAACCCCACTTTGTTTCCATTCACTGCTATATAAAACTTAAAGCCTCTTTCTCCTAGCCATTCCTGGAATGTCCTTTACCTCTCCTACCTTCCACTGCAGATTTATACACCCTCTCCATCCTCTCTACATGCCCAAACTACCTCAGTAACATTTCCTAAGCTCTCTTCATTAAACATTTGGTCACCCTACATAACATTTTAATTTCTTTGTTCTGCATTCTCTGTATGATACTCTCAACGCATTGGTCTCATACACGACATCACTCCTCTAGCCTACTACTCGCTGCAGCATTTCAAAGCCAATGCCTCATACCCACATGAAAGTGTTGCTACAACTATATTTTGATACATTCCCCATATTTGCCTCCATTTATAAAATATTTTCCTTCCACAGATGCTTCAACACACCACCAACCTTTTTCATCTCATCAATGGGTCACCTATTGTCACAGACCTAGCTTCTGACATGTCCACTTGCAAATCTCTAAATATATTCACTTCCCTCTTCCAATCTATTACCCAGATTTTTAGTTACCTTCATCATCTTGCTCTTTTCCATTTTTTTTTTTTCAACAAGTCGGTCGTCTCCCACCGAGGCAGGGTGACCCAAAAAAAGAAAGAAAATCCCCAAAAAGAAAATACTTTCATCATTCAACACTTTCACCACACTCACACATTATCACTGCTTTTGCAGAGGTGCTCAGAATACAACAGTTTAGAAGCATATACGTATAAAGATACACAACATATCCCTCCAAACTGCCAATATCCCAAACCCCTCCTTTAAAGTGCAAGCATTGTACTTCCCATTTCCAGGACTCAAGTCCGACTATGTGAAAATAACTGGTTTCCCTGAATCCCTTCACTAAATATTACCCTGCTCACACTCCAACAGATCGTCAGGTCCCAAGTATCATTCGTTTCCATTCACTCCTATCTAACACACTCATGCACGCTTGCTGGAAATCCAAGCCCCTCGCCCACAAAACCTCCTTAAGCCCCTCGCCCACAAAACCTCCTTTACCCCCTCTCTCCAACCCTTTCGAGGACGACCCCTACCCCTCTTTCCTTCCCCTATAGATTTATATGCTTTCCATGTCATTCTACTTTGATCCATTCTCTCTAAATGACCAAACCACCTCAACAACCCCTCTTCTGCCCTCTGACTAATGCTTTCATTAACTCCACACCTTCTCCTAATTTCCACACTCCGAATTTTCTGCATAATATTTACACCACACATTGCCCTTAGACAGGACATCTCCACTGCCTCCAACCGTCTCCTCGCTGCTGCATTTACCACCCAAGCTTCACATCCATATAAGAGTGTTGGTACTACTATACTTTCATACATTCCCTTCTTTGCCTCCATAGATAACGTTTTTTGACTCCACATATACCTCAACGCACCACTCACCTTTTTTCCCTCATCAATTCTATGATTAACCTCGTCCTTCATAAATCCATCCGCCGACACGTCAACTCCCAAGTATCTGAAAACATTCACTTCTTCCATACTCCTCCTCCCCAATTTGATACCCAATTTTTCTTTATCTAAATCATTTGATACCCTCATCACCTTACTCTTTTCCATGTTCACTTTCACCTTTCTACCTTTACACACATTCTCAAACTCATCCACTAACCTTTGCAATTTTTCTTTAGAATCTCCCATAAGCACAGTATCATCAGCAAAAAGTAACTGTGTCAATTCCCATTTTGAATTTGATTCCCCATAATTTAATCCCACCCCTCTCCCGGACACCCTAGCATTTACTTCTTTTACAACCCCATCTATAAATATATTAAACAACCATGGTGACATTACACATCCCTGTCTAAGACCTACTTTTACTGGGAAGTATTCTCCCTCTCTTCTACACACCCTAACCTGAGCCTCACTATCCTCATAAAAGCTCTTTACAGCATTTAGTAACTTAGCACCTATTCCATATATAGTGGACCCCCGGTTAACGATTTTAATCCGTGCAAGAGGGCTCATCGTTATGCGAAATAATCGTTATGCGAATGAATTTTCCCCATAAGAAATAATGGAAATAAAATTAATCCGTGCAAGACGCCCAAAAGTATGAAAAAATTTTTTTTTTACCACATGAAATGTTAATTTTAATACACACAAACTGAAAAAGGCATGCACAATTACATGACACTTACTTTTATTGAAGATCTGGTGATGATTGATGGGATGGGAGGAGGGGAGAGCATTATCTTCTTACTGTTTAGAAGGGGAATCCCCTTCCATTAGGACTTGAGGTAGCAAGTCCTTTTCTGGGGTTACTTCCCTTCTTCTTTTAATGCCACTAGGACCAGCTTGAGAGTCACTGGACCTCTGTCGCACAACAAATCTGTCCATAGAGCTCTGTACCTCCGTTCCTTCAAGACTTTCCTAAAATGGGCCATAACATTGTCATTGAAATAGTCACAAGCACGGCTTGCAACAGCTGTGTCAGGGTGATTTTCATCTATAAAGGTTTGCAGTTCAACCCACTCTGCACACATTTCCTTAATCTTTGAAGTAGGCACAATGGATTCCACAACTGGCATAGGCTTCTCAGGGTTAGCCCCAAACCCTTCAAAATCTTTCTTAATTTCCATACTAATTCTCACCCTTTTTACCACAGGGTTGGCACTAGAAGCTTTCTTGGGGCCCATGGTCACTTATTTTCCAGAAACAGCACCGAAAATACTGTAATAATACGAAATATTCCGAGTGTATGCTTGGATGTTACCGCGGAGGCTGGCTGGTAAACAATGGGACGGAGCGGCACATGTGAGGCTGGCTGAGGGCACATTGGACGCGTCTCGGACGAAAATCGGTATGCGGGTTTTTAATCGGTATGCGCGGCAAAAATTTTGCGATAAAAGTAATCGTTATGCGGAAAAATCGCTATGCGATGCCATCGTTATGCGGGGGTCCACTGTACTTGCAACATCTGCCACATTGCTCCTCTATCCACTCTATCATATGCCTTTTCTAAATCCATAAATGCAATAAAAACTTCCCTACCTTTATCTAAATACTGTTCACATATATGCTTCAATGTAAACACTTGATCTACACATCCCCTACCCACTCTGAAGCCTCCTTGCTCATCCGCAATTCTACATTCTGTCTTACCTCTAATTCTTTCAATTATAACTCTACCATATACTTTTCCTGGTATACTCAGTAAACTTATTCCTCTATAATTTTTACAATCTCTTTTGTCCCCTTTCCCTTTATATAAAGGGACTATACATGCTCTCTGCCAATCCCTAGGTACCTTCCCCTCTTTCATACATTTATTAAACAAAAGTACCAACCACTCCAACACTATATCCCCCCCTGCTTTTAACATTTCTGTCATGATCCCATCAGTTCCAGCTGCTTTACCCCCTTTCATTCTACGTAATGCCTCATGTACCTCCACCACACTTACATTCTGCTCTTCTTCACTCCTAAAAGATGGTATACCTCCCTGGCCAGTGCATGAAATTACCGCCTCCCTTTCTTCCTCAACATTTAAAAGTTCCTCAAAATATTCTCGCCATCTACCTAATACCTCCCTCTCCCCATCTACTAACTCCCCTACTCTGTTTTTAACTGACAAATCCATACTTTCCTTAGGCTTTCTTAACTTGTTTAACTCACTCCAAAATTTTTTCTTATTTTCATTAAAATTTCTTGACAGTGCCTCCCCCACTCTTTCATCTGCTCTCCTTTTGCACTCTCTCACCACTCTCTTCACCTTTCTTTTACTCTCCATATACTCTGCTCTTCTTATAACACTTCTGCTTTGTAAAAACCTCTCGTAAGCTACCTTTTTCTCTTTTATCACACCCTTTACTTCATCATTCCACCAATCACTCCTCTTTCCTCCTGCCCCCACCCTCTGTAACCACAAACTTCTGCCCCACATTCTAATACTGCATTTTTAAAACTATTCCAACCCTCTTCAACCCCCCACTACTCATCTTTGCACTAGCCCACCTTTCTGCCAATAGTCGCTTATATCTCGCCCGAACCTCCTCCTCCCTTAGTTTATACACTTTCACCTCCCTCTTACTTGTTGTTGCCACCTTCCTCTTTTCCCAACTACCTCTTACTCTAACTGTAGCTACAACTAAATAATGATCCGATATATCAGTTGCCCCTCTATAAACATGTACATCCTGGAGCCTACCCATCAACCTTTTATCCACCAATACATAATCTAACAAACTACTTTCATTACTTTTCCATATTCACTTTAAATTTCCTTATCCTACATACCCTCCCAAATTCATCCACCAAAATTTGCAACTTTCCTTCAGCAAAGAGCAACCGTGACAAACTCCCATTTTGTATCGGATCCAACTTTTAATTCCACATCTCTTCTCAACATCCTAGCATTTACTTTCATAACCTCACCACTACATATTTAACAACCATGGTGACATCATTCATCCTTTACCATAATTTAAGTGAAAATAGTCCCCCTCCCTTCTACATACCCTAACCTAAGCTTCACATAAAAACCTTAATTGTTTTTAGTAACCTACCCCCTATTCCATATATTTGCAACACCTGCTATGTAGCTCTCCTATCCACCCTATCATGTCTATTCCTAAATCCATAAATGTAAAAAATCAGCTCTTTACCCTTATCTAAGTACTGCTTTCTTACATGCTTCAATAAAAAAAGCTTTACCTACACATCCCCTACCATTCCTAAAACCTTCCTGCTCTTCTGCAATCCTATTTTCCGTCTTAACCCTAGCTCTTTCAATAACATTTCTACCATTTATCTATACCTGGAGTGATCAACAAACTTTTTAACATACTGGCTGACTCCCACTGAGGAAGGGTGATCCAAAAAAGAAGAAACACTTTTACCCTCCCTCAACCTAACACTGTCTTCTCAGAGGCATGACAACATTACAGCTCAGATGCCCCTCCAAACTGCAATATCCGCACTCCTCCAGAGTGCCGGCACTGTACTTTCTACCTCCAGGACTTCAGTGTGGCTAACCACTTTCCCTGCATCCTTTTATGTTACCCTGTTCACACTAACTTCGCATCATAAAAAATAACACTCGCCTCCACTCCTTTCTAATACGTTCACACACACCTGGTAGATGTCTGAGCCCCTCACATACAAAAACCCTTATCTTCTCACTCCAACCTTTCCTAGGGCAACCCCTACCCAGCCTTCCCTCTGCTAGAGATTTATACATTCTCCAAGTCATCCTATATTGGCGAGTACAAATAGGAAGCGCATCTGTATCGCGCTCAACAGATGTAGGATCAAGCCTCCACCTCATCGTGCACTGAATAATACACACGGGTTTAGTGCTTATGAAATTAAAATATAAAGATCCAAGGCATCCTTAACAGACTTATCTCCCTTACATTCTCTGGTACTCTTTCCTTTATACAAAGGAACTATGCATGCTCTTTTCCAGTCCTCTGGTACATTCCCTCCTTTTCATGCATATACTGAACCACTGGAATACTACATCTCCTTTGCCCACTTTCATTCTACTCACTGCCTCAAGTACTTTCCCTATATATACATCAGAACACACGAGGCACTAAAAAGAAAACTGATGAATTCACCAGTGAATGAAGCATAGCGAGTGAAAATTGCTTTTATACAAAAATGTTCACCAATCTTTAAAATGAGACCAGTTTGATCAAATTGTAAAGCTGACTACAGAGACATTGTTGCAAACATGTTGCAGACATTTTGTAGGGGATAGTCTCAAACGTGACATTTGGCAAATTCATTGGTTTTCTTTATGCTGCAAAGGTTTGTAGGTGATTTTCCCCAAGTGATATTTGGCAAGTTTATTGTTTTTCTTCTCAGTGCCTCATTCAATACTGCATGTTAGAAATATATAATACTTTATATTGCATCTGGGACTAACAAAAACATTAAATGGCGTGAAACTTACAGACTTGCGCAGCTCATTGGCAAAGTTCATGCTTTCAATGACTGGGAGGTAGGCAGTGATATTCCAAGATGTTGAACCTTCTGTGATGTCACCATCAACAATTCTCCCTTGCCTTTTGCCTATCACACTGTACATCCTGCCCACGACCTCTGATGTTACACTGATCACACATGAGTACATGGCACAAACCAGCCTTTGACATTGATTCTCAAATGCTTTTCTTAAGGTGTCTTTGGAAAGGGATATTATTTGTCCAGATGATATACCAAATGACTGTAACTGAGAGTCCCCACTTTCAGATACATTTGCTGGTGCCAAACTCCAGTCCTCTATTATGAAACAAACACCCATCATTGGTTCCTCACACAATGGTCCAGCAACAGAAGCCATCTGAAATCCAGTCACAAAACTTGTGTCATAGGCAGCTAAAGGAGAGTCAATTAGTGAGGCCTTTTCCCAAACTGAAGGTCGAGGATATGTCTTGATTCGATTTAACAAGATATTGGGGCCACATCTGTGAGGCCCGAAACTCCATATTTCATTAACTGCATTTTTCCATTCCACTCCAGCATCTTTAAATGCTTTATCTAGAGACATCTTAAAATCCGTTATTGCTTTGAAAGTTTCAGTTTTTAATTTCTGTCGATTTTCCATAGCTTTAGCAAGAGCACTCATTTCAGATTTTGTCCCAGCCTCCTGTTTTGACAAGATGTTATCAGTCATGTCACTCCCTGCATTGTGTGTATTTGTTTTATCAGTCACAATAGCACCAGCCAGGGTAACCAACTTTAACAGTTCTTCATTCTGTTCCAGGAGTTTAGTAACAGCTTCAGGTAAAGGTACAGCTCTGCATCGCAGTTTTCCTAAGCGGCCATTCACTTCGACCACACCCAAAGGGTCAGATTTGTCCATCTGAAACAAGCACACAAAATATGAATTAAATTGAGAAGGCTCTAATATCCCATCCTACATTAAGAGTACAATATGAAGATATATTAAATTACAGTGGAACCTCAGTATGCGAGCTTAATTCATTCCAGAAGGCTGTTCGAGTGCCGCTCCATTTGAGTATCGAACAAGGTCTTCCCAACCAATTTTCTGTTTGGTTGGATGTTATCACTAATCTTCATAGGCCCCATGGTGACTTATTTATACAAATAATACTAAAAAACACCAAAAATACGAAGAAACACGAAATAGTTTACAGCGAGGTACTGGCAGGTCGTATTTGTTTGGTCGAGTGCTGAGCTTTGTTCCAGTAGGGAGCTGCTGGTATACCGAAGTTCCACTGTATTTCTATGGCGAAGTGGAAAAGAATTCTTCCTCCGTAAGTCATGGGTGTTTTAAGAGGTGACTTAAAATGCCAGGAGCAAGGGGCTAGTAATCCCTTCTCCTATATAAATTACTAAATTTAAAAAGAAAAACTGAGTTTTTTTCTTTTCAGGTCACCCTGCCTTAGTGGGATACAGCATGTTCATTGAAAAAAAAAATTAACTTACGTAAAAATCCTAAAATAAGAACATAAGAACATAAGAATGGAGGAACACTGCAGAAGGCCTACTGGCCATGCTAGGCAGGTCCTTATCAAAACAACCCCTACCTTAAGCTACCCAAGAAATAACTCCCATACCCAATGACACCAATCAAACCCAGCCCCTCCCACTCATATATTTGTCCAGTCTCTTCTTAAAGCTACCCAAGGTCCTGCCTCTATCAACCCACTGGGAAGACTGTTCCACGCATCTACAACTCTGTTAGAAAACCAGTACTTACCTATGTCCTTTCTAAATCTAAATTTATCCAACTTAAATCTATTATTTCTGGTTCTTACCTACCTGGTTGGACACCCTCAGTACTTTATTAATATCTCCCTTGTTTATGCCTGTCATCCACTTATACACCTCAATGATATCTCCCCTCATTCTACGCCTCTCCAGAGAGTGGAGATTTAAGGCTTTAAATCTATCTTCATACGGGAGGTTCCTTACACAGTAAATCATTTTAGTCATTCTTCTCTGTATGTTCTCCAATGAGTCTATATCCATCCTGTAGCAAGGGGACCAAAACTGAGCAGCACAATCCAAATGTAAAATAGATAAATGAGACTTTTTATTTTAACACATTGGCTGTCTCCCACTGAGGCAAGGTGACCCAAAAAAGAAGAAACACTTTCATCATTCATTCATTCTATCACTGTCTTCCCAGAGGCATTTTAATACTAAAGTTTAGATATCCCTTCAAACTGCAAACATCCCCACCCCTCTTTCAGAATGCAGGCACTGTACTTCCCATCTCCAGGACTCAAGTCCAGCTAACCAGTTATCCTGAATCCAACATCTAGTCAAGTCCCAAAAACCATATGCCTCCACTTATTCCTCACAAATACTTACTGGATATCCAAGCCCCTCACACACAAAACTTCCTTTACCCCCTCCAACCATTTCTAGGGTGACCCCCTACCCCCACCTTCTCTCCGCAGATTTATAAATCCTCCAACCTCTCAATGTTCAAACCACCTCAACAACCCCTCCTCAGTCCTCTGGATAAGACTTAGTAACCCAGCACCTTCTAATCTCCAAGCTATAAATTCTCTGCATAATATTTACACCACACACTGCCCTCAGACATGATATCCCCACTGCCTCCAGCCTCCTCCTCACTGATATTCACAAATGAGACATCTGACAAATAGTAATAGAGATAATTCATACAAGTCATGTATATCAAAATTTTAAGCATTGCAAGACCACAGAAAAATGATAGTAAAATAATTAAATCTGTAACAAATTAAGTTATTAAGTTGTTTTGCTGGAATAAAGCTTAATGACTTAAGATATAGACTTAAAAAATGGTTCATTAGTTAAAAACTGCATTAAGCACATTGCAACTTCCCAAATAAGCCAATGTTATAACTTGAGATGGGGACAGGAACAATAATATTAGTTTATAGTTAATATTTTCTCGTCAGTAATAAAATTACCAAAATACGTTCTCAATAAAGATGGGTTTACCAACAGAGGAATACTGGCATTGTAGCCACATTTTGAGTGCACAAACCAAAAAAAATATGAGAAACTATAGAAATATCAAGAAAAGTATCACACTGAGTTTTTATTTTCATTGGATTGAAGGGTTGTAATGGCTCCTAAGCTGCCTGTTGTTGATTTAAAGGGTTATGACGACCTAAGGGCTCTCTTCAACCCAATACTAGTTGATGGCCTAGTGGCTATCACATAACTCAACAGTCAAAAAACAGAATGTGATACCTCTCTTAATATTTTGATAATCTTTCATAAATAACAAAAAGGCACAATACCATAACTAGAACAATACACAAATAACCTGCACAAAGGAGAGAGGAGCTTACAACATTTCGGTCCAACTTGGACCATTTACAAAGTCACACTGAAACGTCATGGTAACCTCCTCTCTCCTGTGTGTGGGTTATTTGTGTATAATCTTTCATATTCCTTTTGTATTGTACACTTGTAAAACAGAGGGTATAATACTAAACAATGGACCCATCTCTAGTGAGGGGAGGAATGTAGAAGGTGCAGTAGTGACATGACATTTCTCACAGACAGCCAGAACCAACCAACCTCTCTCTCTCTCCCCGAGGATGATAAACGATTCACATTCATAAGCACTATATGCATTTTCCTTGTATCATATGGTGCAAAGGATGTGAAAACACTGTGATCACTTACTACCTATGCAGGAAGCAGCAGATTTAATCCCATCTGTAGATCCATAAAGCAATGAGTGCTATATTTACGAGCATTATCTGGTTGTTGCATGAGTGAAGCATGGTCAGTAAGCAGGGAAATAGTCAAGGATTTTTTGTTTTTTTCCAAAATTATATGGGTCTACTGTACAATTAAGATTACTTACCTTTCTCAAATTTATATTTTCTCCTTCAATAGCTTCGTTAAGTCTGTCAACTGTAGGTGGAAGAATAATAGTTTCTCTAAAGGGCACAATTGGGTCGGAAGTGCGCACAGGAACACGTGCATATCGTTCTTGAAGATCATCTATACAGCGTTGTAGGTGCACTTCACCGCAGTAAGGATAACATATTCACCATTATTTTGTAGTGCAATCTAAAATTCATTAAAAAACCTGTTTAAAATTACTTGAATTTTGCAGTATAAAATGATTAATTAAATTTTAAAAATTATGCAACAAATAACGTAAAATTCAATAGAATCAAACTGTGTTATGTTCATTAATCACTTATTTGTGGACAGCTAAAATTCTCATTGTTGAATGGGCAATGTGTGCATGTGGGCTTCTGATAACTGGGCAAAATGTACATGTACAGGTGCTCCTTGACTTGAATGGGGTTACGTACTAATGAACCCAGCCTAAGTCAAAAATATCGTAAGCAGAATATGAACATGACATGATAAACAAACAAGTAAATATAGTAGACCAGGTGAAATTGCTGACCTAGAAAATGTACAGAGAACCTTCACCCCGCACATAACGGAGATAAAACACCTCAATTACTGGGAGCGCTTGATGTTCCTGAACCTGTACTCCCTGAAATGCAGGCGGGAGAGATACATGATTATATACACCTGGAAAATCCTAGAGGGACTAGTACCGAATTTGCACACGAAAATCACTCACAACGAAAGCAAGACTCGCAGACGATGCAACATCCCCCCAATGAAAAGCAGGGGTGTCACTAGCACGTTAAGAGACAATACAATAAGTGTCAGGGGCCCGAGACTGTTCAACTGCCTCCCAGCATACATAAGGGGGATTACCAATAGACCCCTGGCTGTCTTCAAGCAGGCACTGGACAAGCACCTAAAGTCGGTACCTGACCAGCCAGGCTGTGGCTCGTACGCTGGATTGCGTGCAGCCAGCAGTAACAGCCTGGTTGATCAGGCTTTGATCCACCAGGAGGCCTGGTCACAGACCAGGCCGCAGGGGCGTTGACCCCTGGAACTCTCTAGGCCTTTGGTCTCTTTCTACCCTGCAATACTTTATACAGCTGATAGCAAAGCATCATGAGCAGTGCTAGACCCCAGAAGAACATGTTTACTGTAGTTGTCATTGCTTGTTAATTTGGAAATGTGTGCAGAGGGTTGATGTGACCCTGTACAATGTGTGTACAAACATGACATGTTATGACATGCTATCAGCTAGCACTTGCAAATATCAGTAAAAAATACCATATTTTACTTGCTAAGACAAAATTTTTACTAAATAAATGTGTCCAGAGTAATACCCACCATAATATAAATGCAAGCTATCTAACTAAACAAAAAAAAAATTAAATGATTATGAGAAAAGCTTCTCAAGGCTCTCAGCATGTGTTACTGTTATTGTTGGGTTGAGGGTTGGGACGACCCGAGGGTTGGGATGACCCAAGGGTTGTTGTGTCCATCTCCCTGCTGTGATATTAACTACCAGAATGCTTTTGCAAATACAGGTCGGCCATCACTAATCCAGTAATCAGTAATCCGGCACTAATTTCGGCTAGCATAATTTCCAATTTCCAGAGTCGTAACACCATCCTGCTGCTACTGTTTGGTTTACCTGGAGAGAGTTTACCTGGAGAGAGTTCCGGGGGTCAACGCCCCCGCGGCCCGGTCTGTGACCAGGCCTCCTTAGGTCAGTGTCCCAGGATGCGACCCACACCAGTCGACTAACACCCAGGTACCCATTTTACTGATGGGGAACATAGACAACAGGTGGAAAGAAACACGTCCAATGTTTCTACTCTGGCTGGGAATCGAACCCAGGCCCTCGCCGTGTGAAGCGAGAGTGTTAACCACCAGGCCACCACTTGTTGCATAAGTCATTCCAATTTCTTTTTCTCCATTTATTATTATAACCTATTAACTTTTAGCCCTAGCCATGGTTCCAACAAATAAAAGAAATGCTTCTTGTTGTGTAAA